TTTCCAAATTTGTTTCCTGTGTTGATGCATGTAAGTTGCTTGTGGTAGATAGCTTTGTTATTAGTTTTGAGTCCTCATCAGGAAATGACTGCTTTTCAGATATTTCTTCTAGGTATAACTGACTTGAGTTTGTCCCAAGATCCTGCCTCTTCAAGTTTTTAGCAGTAAGTTGCTACCTATTTTACCTAGTACCAAACTCTTTGGTGCTGGATGACAGTATTGTTTATGACCCCCAATCTCAGTATTGGTAAACTAGGAAGAACAACTGATCACAACTATGTCACTTTGACTAAAGTAGTGTAGTCAGTAGTAACACTAGCATCATCAAGTACAGTGTAGAAAATGACAAACTATGGTAACTGCTAATTTGCCACTTTACACTGTGGGTACAAGATTTATGGTTACATAACAAAATCTAAAATCAATTATATACAGTAAGTATCCTCTTAATAGAGGGATTTTACCCTCAGGGGAGAAAATGTAAAAGACTTAAGGGGAAAAAATAGAGAAATAATAGAAGAGAAAGAGATTAAAAGCAGGACTTCAGGACAAAGGAAGAGTACCCAAGCTTTGGAAAACTGATGAAGAAAACAGGAGGGAGAGAAAGAAAGCAAATGCAAAGACAAGACCTAACGCTAACCCAAAAAACTAAGAACAAGAGAGAGAGGGGTTAAAAAAAGAGATTTCTCTATGATTTCAAGCCTGTGGTTATCTTATGGGATCTACAGTTTTGTGGTAGTGTCCAGTTCAGGGTGTGTCTCCACTGTCTCAGGTAGACAAAGGAGGCAGACAGAGCCGCAGTCCATCCTGGATGATCCCTGCAAGCCTACAGTAGGAATAGGGTGGGGTGCAGATTCTGTTGCTTTCAACTCCATAGAAGTTCAGGGTGTTCCTGGCCTCTGATTGTGAGGTTGGGACCTGAGTTTTTCAGCCAACAACACTCTGGGTATCTGTTGCCTGTCTGACCTCAGCTCCTTGACCCTGAATGTCTCCCGTGGTTGTGCCTCACCCAGTCACTGTACCCCTGAGAGGAAATCAACCCAAGACTGCTCTTAGTCCAGACTTCAGCTGGCTCCTCCCTAAAGTGGCACCAGGCCATGCTCCCTCTCCAGGGGATACTTGGACTAGTCACCAGCCATTGTAACTCACAAAATCCACTGCTCTATTCCACCAGTGCATTTCTCTGTGGAGTCCTCAGGCGTCATCAGCAATGGAGGCCTCTGGGGTCATCCGCCTTCACTGTGTCTGTAGATTTGAGCTTCCTTTCTCATGTGGCAAGCCAGGAGTCAGGGAAAAAGTGCAGGTTGCCTCCTCCTCTTTCTGTATTGAGGTCTCTGTCTTCACTTTCCCTGTGAGCTCCAATTCTCCTTTCAGATTCTTCCTGGGTCCCAGGGATCAACCTCCCTCCTCCTTTTTTGTTATATTCCAATGTCTGTATTCCGAATCTCAGACAGGCTGACATGCTGCTCCTTACTACTCTGCCATCTTTTTCTATGCCTAGATTGAAGGAGCTTGTGTCAGGTATCCTGACAATCTTCCTTTTAACTCAAAGGGAGCTGTTTAGTAATGTAAACATGGGAGTGACATTCCATTAAATTCATAGTTGCTGTCCTACTCAAGAGGAGAGAATGAAACAAGGCATGGCTACCCTGGAGAGCCCAAGAGAATTCTGCCTATTAATCAGTGTTTCCATTTTTTTCCTTAAACTTGACAAACCTTCGCATACTTTATTTATTTAATACTTTCACCTGTTTTGTCTACATTTTATTATACCTTTGTAAAAATTGTTTTCATTCATTTTCAATTATCTACTCACTATCAGTATTAATAAAAATCAACATCAATTTTGATCAGTTTGATCAAAATCATTAATTATATTTCCCATCGTATTTTTTTTCCATACCTGTTCTTTTCAGTATCCTGTGTTTCCATTTGGACTTGCTTCTCTGTTTTTTGAATTATGATGTTAGCCCGGCCTGGTGGTACATGCCTATAATCCCAGCACCCAGGAGGCTGAGGCAGGAGGATCATTGCAAGTTTGAGACCAGCCTGGGCTACAAAGTGAGCTCAAGGCCAGCCTGAACTGCATAGTAAGACCCTGTCTCAAAGACCAAAAAAAAAAAGAATTCTCATGATAGATGTCTATGGCCAGTAAGTTCCTTTTGTCTGTATCTGAATTATTTTTCTCTGTGGTTTTGGGAATTGAACCCAGGGCATACAAGCAAGTCTTGTACTTACTAGGCAAGTGCTATACTTCTGAGCTATGTCCCTTGCCCCTGAATTTTTACAAAATTTTTCCAGTTGATTATAAATTGGTTGGTTATAAAATTCTCAGTTAATGTAGTTACTCCCTCCCTTCCTCCTTTCTATCATTCCTTCATTTCTTCCTTTTACCTCACCTTAGCAAGTATAGTACTTTCATGTTATCACTGTATTATCTTCTAACATCTGTTATAGTCTAATTGCTTTCAGTTTTGTTCTGTTTTGTAGTGGTGGGCCATGACCTTTTATATGCTAAGCATGCTCTGTACCACTGAGCTGTATCCTTGGCTCCTGTTTTTAAAAATAGGTAGTTATGCGGCTTTTTTTTGGGTAAATTTTAGGACTTTCTTTTTATCCTTGATTTTTCTGCAAATCTATTATTAAAGTTCTCTAGCTTTTTATTCAGATTATATAATTTGTATAAAGTAAAATTTACCTTTTAAAATATATAGATCAGTGAATCTAGACAAAAATGCAGTCATGGAACCATCCAATCAAGATATATGTCCAGGGGCTGGGGATTTAGCTCAGCGGCAAA